GGGTAGCCTTTCCCGACCAGGGGTGTTGGACGGAATGGACTCCTTGCGTATCTCTTTGGACCTATTGGTTTGGGCTGCGCTCATAGATTTTAAAAAATGTACATAATCTAGAATTCAAATCAGTCTCGCCGTATCACAGAGAAGAACCAGGGTGGGTGTCAAACGGTCGGGGTGGGGCGGGGGTGGGGGGTGGGTAGAAAGCACCTGTCATTTCCTCTTCCGCGCTCTCTTTCAGAGCCGGGTCAGAACAACACAGGCTCTTGATGCTCCTCTGCTGCTGCTGTTTGAAACGGAAAGTTTTGACATTGCAAATAACTTAGAAGATGAAACCCTGTAGGTCTTGCTTTCCTGACAACTTTCCGTGGGAGTATTTCAAATCCGAGTCGCAGCAAATACCTTTGTATGTGAATAGTTTTATATAAATTTTATATTTATATTTATTTAAATAAACGAGACAAAATCGATATTTTAAAAAGTTGATGGTGTTTGCCTCTACTTCACTCCCTCCAAGGTTTAAAAACAAACAAACAAGTGTGAACAAAAAAAGAGCCGAGGACTTAGAGGAAGGTATTGACTCCAACTGGCTAGCAAGGGCCTCTCACATTCAGGAGTTTGTGACTCTGGGTTTTCTTGGCATGCCGACCAAATCCCATAGGTCATGGTGCTGCCTACCAGGTAATATCCCACACCCTCCTAATAGACAATTCCCTCACAGCTGATGGGATCCATCACGCCAGCCACCAGCAAGGACAAGCAACCTTTTTCATTTATTACATAAGAAAGGATGAAAATTGGGTACCTAATTTTTTTTAATGGAGGTAAGTTACCCCTTATATTTAATTTACCCTCAGGAGTAAATTGTCTGAAGGAATTTGCGTGAGTGGAATAAAAAGTCCGGGTCCTCAAGTCTGTTCCTCCTCCTAGTGACCCAATAGGACAGAGTAGAACAGTCCCAAAGGGTTTCCAAGGCTTTCATTTTTGTCGGAGCTACATGGTTCTCCCAAGGAACCATTGGTGGGTTTGGACAAAGTTAAACTGGCCCAGAATGTTTCCAAGACTGTAATCTGCATGGCAACATCTTTCTTCCACAGAGCAGCTGGTGTGTTCGAACCAGTGACTGCACAGCTAGCAGCAGCTTGCTTACCCACTGCACCACTGGGGATCCTCAGAGTTGGAATTGCTTTAAGAAAAGCAACAATTGGTCAAACAGGTGGAGAGGAATGTAACAAATGCTGTTGGGAATACTGTAGCTAGAAACGCTGGTGTGCCTGCTCTCTTCAAGGAAGTGCATCAGCAGAACAAAAGACAGAAACAGGATATGGTTCTATGCCAAGATTTACAGGTTCACTCTTTAAAAATATGCCAAAACTGCTTTCGGAGCTCTTGGCCTTTCTCCTGGCATCTCTGACTTTAACCAAAATGTGCCTCCTTCTACTCCCTGTTTCCCAGGCTGCCTAGGCGAGTTCTTTCTGGCTGCCCTGGTCTGGGAGAAGACTTGGTTCTGGTTTCTCCTCAGTGCCACCTGGGTCTGTCACCTAAGAGAACCAAGGCGACAGAGCTGGAAAAGGGGAGCCCAGGGGACCTCACTCTGCCAGCTGAGTGCCACTTACACCCACTGGCATTCTTTCTGATGATTTCCAATAAAGTGACCGTTAGTAAAGAATAGATTCAAGCCCACCCCGGGACTGTTTGCAACACGCATAGGCAGTTCTCTTTAGTTCAGATTTACTTAGAGTCGTCTGCCCAAAAGGATTAAGGGGAGGCAGAGGTTATAGAATGAAAAGGTGGGGCTCCCAAACTGAGATCCAGAAGCTGATTTGGAAAGGAGGGGAGGGGAAGAATTATTCTCTGCCTCAGCGGCTCAGCAACAGGGAAGACTCCCTCCTTTGAGGCTCTAGCACCTCCCCCCACCTTTTCGGCACCAGTGGAGTGGGTCAGAGGAGAGGGTGGAAGGACCACACAGTGTGAAGCTGTATGGGGAACTTGGGTGCTTTGTGCGGAGAGCGCGGCCTGGGCCTGGGCCTGCGCAAGGACGGCGGGCATCGGGCCTCTTGGCTGCGCCTGGGAGCCTGCACACATACACACCCCTCCCGCCTGGGATCTTTCTGGGCCCCTCGCCCTGTCCCGCCAGAGGGAGGAGGCAGTTCTGCTTTCTTTCCCAAAGATCGCGTCTCCCTCCAGCTCAACAAACGCGCTGCTGGGCGCTCGGGTACTGAACTGGGAAGGGAGTTTCCCGACGGGGTGGGGTGGGCCGGAGAGGGGGAAAACAGGCGTCTTTGAGGAATAGTTCCTGCTGGGGGAAAAAAGGACAACGAGCCCCTGCTGTAGATCTCCGGCTCCGGACCACAGCGAAGCCTCACCTGGGCGGCGGGCGGACCCGTTGGCGCTCTCCCATCCACACCCTACCTGGCTCTGCCACCGCCCCTAGAAGAGGCCCAGTGGTTCCTCCCCAAGGCCACGCCGCCGGAGGTCCGATCCCAGCCTGTTGGCTGTCCCTCTCCGGCCGGCCCACAGGTCGGAACCGAGCTCATGCCACCGGAGTTTCACAGTGGCCGAACGAAACTGGAGACGCGGCTCCAGCCCTCGGGGCTCGGTTTGGTTTGCTTGGCTGTATGATCCCGGAAGTGGGGGCAGGAGAACAGATTTCTTCCTCTCCAGGAAGGTCCTTCTGCCTGGTTCTAGGGCCATTTTTGTAATTTTCAGATTAAAACTTGACATCTCTTATTCTACTGGGGCATATTTTTAAAGTCCCCATGCCCTCCAGGCGGTTGATGTTCTCACAGGTTGCAAAACAGAGTAAGTTGTGGAAGCTGCCTGATACCACAGGCCTGCAGTTTCACCTTCGGGTTTTGAGTACTGAGCCAGGCAATGCAAACGCCCAACCTCTCCGCTAAGCAATCTTAAGATCGGACACTGGTCGAAGTTTCTCCACATGAATAGACAAGAAAGTCCTTGGATACACGTGGACACCTCTGGACATTTTTCTAAGTGGGACGCATTTGTCAAACACCCTTCCTCTTCAGTTCTGTTTACCAAAATCTGGTCTCATAGAAGACTACCTGGAAACATTTGGTGCAAAGAAAGAAAGTGAGAATCTGTGTGGCTGAATCCCCCTCTTTTTTTAAAAACCAGAAGAGAGCTGAGGACAGGAGGGCTGGCAGGGACAAAAGGGTCCCAGCACAGACATTCAGACCTTTCCCCTTTCCATTAGCTGAAGGTCAAGGGCGCTGGCAGGGATAGTGGCTTCAGGCCAGGCTTCCCAGGCCCAATCCAGATAAGGCAGAAGTGATCCTGGCTTCCCTTCATCCTGGGTGCCCGTGAGCCCCAATGACAGAGACATTGGTCAGCAGTGCTCTGGAACGGCCATTGAGGCTCTCTTTCCAGCTCTTCCTCCAAAGTATAGCCTGAGATTTTAGGAGGAACAAAAACATGAGAGGGGACATCTTTGAATTGTGGCTTCCTCTTCCCGGCCCACAATCCAAGTCCCCACCAATTCCACCTCTTATATCCCACCAGGAGGAGGTGGAGCAATGACCTACAGGTAGGGCTGCTAACCTCAAGGTCAGCGGTGCAAAACCCCCAGCTACTGGGGAGAAAACCAGGAAGCTTTCTAGTCCCAAGAAGAGTTACTGTCTTGCAAATCCCCCCCCTTTCCTTCTAGTGTCCCTGGGAGTCTGAATCAATGGAAGTGTTATCCAACCAGGCTCACAGAGAACTGCTTGTGTGGACCACCCTGACTGTGGTTGGAAACATGTATGTGCTTGTTACATGTGGCATGTGTGTGTTAAAGGGTCAGAGCCTTTGGTGGTGGTCATGTGTGTAAGGAGATGGGTCATTTTCACCACTAAACTTATTTTGCTTCCCAATGTCACCTGCCGGGCATGTTCCATTTATTTTCCTGGTTAATTTGTGAGGTTTCTCTGAGGGGTGAAGAGGCGTTCAGTGGTGGGGTGTGGTAGAGAGAAGGGACATATTTAACCTCCAAAAGAGGCAGCGGAGAGTAGGGATCCCGACTGGCCTTAAGGGTGGTGGTTAGGAAAGGAACAGGACTCCCTCCCGAAGGGCCTTATTTGCTGGAGGAAACTGAGTTTAAAGAAGCAATCTCCCCTTGAAAAGGAGCTCCTCCCATCCTCTCCAAACAGCTTAAAGCGGTTCTCACCTCGGATGAATGCAGCTCTGTGCATCAAAGCAATTGTTCTGATTTTCATTATTCATGGAGAATCTTTGAATGTACCTGTTAAGGTGACAGACCTTTTAAAAGGGAACTTCCCCCCCACCCCATGCAATTAAAGGATGCATTTACTAGGCTTCTATTAACATAATTTAATATAAATCTATTTTATAAATCTTTAGGCTCACATTACTGAAAATTGAGCTTCTCTGGGGGGAAAATGCCCACGTCTCTTCCTTAAATTAAACGAATGGAATCCAAAAAAACTTGCTATTCTAAGCCAACTGGAAATACTAAAAGCAGAGGGATCTTTTGTACTGTCTCTGTTAATGGTGGAGGTGTAAAGAAAAGTGGCTGCTTCTCCCACAGGAGATGATAATTGCACAGGGACGTAGGGCTCCCACCTTGAAGCCCTGCCTGGGAAGTGGGCAGCTCAGGTTGGCACTTGAGGGGGTCAAAGAGCAGGAACTCAAAGAGAACTCTCAGGAAGAATCACCTTAGAGTTTGGGGTGGGTGCCAGCGCCCCATTTTGCATTGGGAGGCATGTTTCTTCTTGTTTGAGGAAGCCTGCATGGACTGACAACATCCCTAAAGATGTTCTATTTGATGGCACCAATCTCTGTTCTACAG